GTTTACTACCATTTTAAGTCCTTTGTACACAAAACTCTTCTCAAGTAATACTACATTGTTTATGTAAATTGTAACCAGTCCGAAAACATGCATGGTAGGCTGATTGGCATGTCTAAAGTGTCAGTAGTATATGAATGGGTGTGTGAGTGTGTATGTGATTGTGCTCTGCGATAGATTGGCACCCTGTCCGGGGTATACCCCGCCTTGTGCCTGAGGCTCCAGGTTCCTCCGCGAACCTGAAGAAGGAGTAAGCAGTAGAGAATGGATGGATGGATGGAATAAGTCACATTACTCTTTCTTTCTTTCTTTATTTGATGTGTGAGATTAATAGATGGCAGTTGAAATTTTTTTCAAGTTAATTTCAAGCACTAAACTAGATCATTTGTGGCTTAAAATCTTCTCAAATATCAGCAGCATTATATCCTTTGTACCCACTCTTTCACACTAATTAGAAGTTTTCAATTTGTCACCACATTGTTAAACGAGTGACAAAATTGTTCATTTTTGATAGTCTAATTGCTATGTTGTACAGAAATATAGTATGTTAAGTATGACTGTTATGAAACAAATTAATGAATTTAAATAATCACACAATGCTTTCTCTTATTCTAAATACCTGATGCCCAATTGTCTCAAGCCATCATGACATCCATTTTGCCATGCTCTATTGGTGTACTTTTAAATTCCGAAGCAGACTGCCACAAATTAAGTCATAACCAAAGGGTTGGAATAACTAAACTTAACTTTTACAGCAAATGATGTAGAACTCATCAAAAGAAGAAAAGGTTTTTGGTGCCAAACATTCTATTTACATTCCTCATTTGTATCACGCAGATAGTCGGGTGGAAACAGGTAATGGTCAGATATGCAGGTTCTTCAGAGACGTGGTCGTAAACAAGCAGGGTGTCGTGATGAACCAGGTAATACTCAGCAATGCAGGTTATTCAGAGACGTGGTCGTAAACAGGCAGATTGTCGAGATCAACCAGGTAATACAGAATCGTGAGGATAATCTAGAAGCGTAGTCTTAAACAAAGCGGGAAGTCGAAACCAACCAGGTGAATTCACAGAATACGGAAAGCTTGGTATCGCAGCTAACATACGTTATGGAGCGTATACTTCGTAACCTGAAATAGGAATGTGACTACTTAAATACCAGTGGATGCCGAAGGCTAGTCAAAGATGTTGTGAATCAGAACTCCGGTGATCTTGAACGCATGCGTGCTTGTGTTGGATTCTGGGAACCGGAGTCCCGGTTGGACTGAGCTGTGACAGAGCCCCCCCCAAAGGGCTCACTCCGGTGAGCCCTTGACCCTCTTGGTCTTCCACGGGGTCTTGTGCCAGGGTATTCCGGGTGAGAGGTGTGAAAGTCCTCCATAAGTTTCGGATCTAGGATATCCTGACGTGGAACCCAACATTGTTCCTCCGGGCCAAATCCTTCGTACTCGACCAAATACTCCAATGCTTGTTTTCTTTGTCACGATTTCAGAATCCTACTGACCTGGTAAGCTGGTTGTCCCTTGATCTGGAGTGAGGAGGCGGACTGGCTGACGGTAGTTCCAGTGCTAGGGGACCTTCCACCACTGGCTTCAGACGGGACACATGGAATGACGGGGATATACGACTATGCGGAGGCATCTTCAAGCGGTAGTTTCCTGCAGCTTTGAGGTTGTTTCATATCTTTAGTAGAGAGCCACACTCTATCGCCAGGTTTGTAGTTAGGGTGGTCTCTACGTCGGCGATCTGCCTGGCGTTTATACCTCTCTGAGATGGTTTCAAGCCGTCAATGGGTGGCTGCCCAGACCTGCTCACTACATTCTGAGTTGGTACCCGAGCACGCACTGGAACGGTGTGAGTTTGGTGGCTGAGTGTTGGAGGGAATTCTGCGCATACTCAGCCCAAGGTATAAAGGAGCTCCAATCCTCTGGATTACGAGCACAGAAGGTCCGCAGGAAACGCCTCAGTTCCTGATTAACCCTCTCGGCCTGGCCGTTGGCTTGGGGGTGATAGCCGGACGTGAGATTCACGGTCACCCCTAATTTCTCCATGAAACATGTCCATACCCAAGAGGTGAACTGGGGGCCGTGGTCGCAGACAGTCTCTTCAGGGATGCCAAAGTATGTTGAAAGATCAGGTTGGCACTAGCGAAGGCAGTGGCTATCGTGGGTACAGGAATGAAATGGACGGACTTTGAGAACCTGTCTGCTACTACTAGGATTGCTGTGTTCTCCTGGGAAACGGGCAGGTCTGTGACAAAATCGATAGCGAGATGCGACTATGGTCTTTCAGGGGTAGGTAAGGGCTTTAGCTTTCCTACTGGCAGTGTCCTGGGAACTTTGGCCTGGACACATGTTGAGCATGAGGCCACCGAAGTTCGAATGTCTCACTCCATCTTCGGCCACCAGTATCTTGCTAGCAGGATCTGATAAGTTCGTTGTGCCCCGGGGTGCCCAGTCCCTTGGACCGAATGGGCCCATGTGATCAGATTAGTTCGGTGTTTTTCTGGTACAAATAATTTTCCTGACGGGCAGTTAGCCGGAATGCTGGCTGTGGGCATTTTCTCTAACTCCTGGTTAAAATTCCATTCTACAGCGTTGAGAATGCAGGTCGGGTTGATTTAATTCGGATCCGGGAGGGGGACGAATGGAAATCTGCATTCAGTACACTCACCGGACACTGAATATTTGGTTATGCCGTATGGGCTTTCCAACGCGCCATCGGTGTTTCAGTGCCTCATTAATGATGTGCTTCACGACATGTTGGGGAAATACGTTATTGCATACATCGACGATATTCTTATTTACTCAAACTCAGTGGAGGAACACATTTCTCATGTTCGTCAAGTGTTGAGGAGACTGCTGCAGAATCAGCTTTATGTTAAGGCCAAGAAGTGTGAGTTTCATAAGACCACCATAGCATTTCTGGGATATATAATACACTCTGATGGCGTGTCCATGGACAAGCTAAAGGTGACAGCTGTGGTGGAATGGCCTGTACCGACGAGCATCAAAGAATTACAGCGATTTCTGGGATTTGCGAATTTCTACCGGAGATTCATCCGAGATTTTAGCTCCATTGCTGGCCCGCTCACGACATTATTAAGGAAAAGACCTAAGCGGCTAACCTGGACTCTAGAGGCACAGGCTGCTTTCGAACATCTCAAGACAGCCTTTACCACGGCTCCCATCCTCAAACACCCAGATCCTGAGCATCCCTTCGTGCTGGAAGTGGACGCCTCGAGCACCGGAGCAGGGGCTGTTCTCTCACAGAGGTTCGGAGACAAGCCTAAATTGCATCTCATAGCCTTCTTTTCACGGAAATTTACCCCCTCCAAACGGAATTATGATTTGGGGGACAGAGAACTTTTGGCCATGAAGATAGCGTTCGAAGAGTGGAGACACTGGCTGGAGGGGTCAACTCATCTGTTCATGGTGTTTACAGATCACAAGAATCTAGAATATCTCCGAACTGCGAAGAGGATGAATGCACGGCAAGCTAGATGGAGCCTGTTCTTTACCTGGTTCAATTTTATGGTTTCCTACCATCCCGTATCCAAGAATACCAAGGCTGATACCCTCTCTCGTATAACCAGCACTGGAGTAGAAATCCGCAACACCGCGCGGGATCCCCATCATATTTCTCAGGCTGCGGAATGGGAGGTAAGCGAGGTTGTGGGGTTGCGGCGTGAACGGGAGTTTGAGTGAGTCTAGCAAACTGAGCATGTAACTCAGCGAGACACTGACCTTGTTCACTGATCATCCGTCCGTGTCCCTCGATGGCTTGTGCAAAACGAGAATCTCCCGCTGCGTCCATCAGTCGGCGAAGTATTCTGTCACGGGGTGGAGGAGGACGCAAGCGCAGGAGCCGTGACGTGAGGGAAGGAACAGTCCGAGTTAGACAGTAATGCACGATGTGAGGGGTATCCAGAGATGCAGGCGTGAACAGATACTGAATCTCAATAACGGTGTTTCCAGAGACGTAGAGGTAATCACGCAAATAGTCGGGTGGAAACAGGTAATGGTCAGATATGAGGGTTTTTCAGAGACGTGGTCGTAAACAAGCAGGGTGTCGTGATGAACCAGGTAATACTCAGCAATGCAGGTTATCCAGAGACGTGGTCTTAAACAGGCAGATTGTCGAGATCAACCAGGTAATACAATATCGTGAGGATAATCCAGAAGCGTAGTCTTAAACAAAGCGGGAAGTCAAAACCAACCAGGTGAATTCACAGAATACGGAAAGTTTGGTATCGCAGCTAACATACGTTATGGAGCGTATACTTTGTAACCTGAAATAGGAATGTGACTATTTAAATACCAGTGGACGCCGAAGGCTACTCACAGGTGTTGCGAATCAGAACTCCGCATGCGCGCTTGTGTTGGATTCTGGGAACTGGAGTCCAGGTCGGACGGGGTTAAGCGCATGCGCGCGCATGTTGGATTCTGGGAACCGGAGTCCTGGTCGGACTGAGCTTTGACATTTACAGTGGTTTAACCATTTTTTGTTTGTTTTACCAATTTGAAGAATAGTACAGATGATGTTGTGATCCCTTCAACAAACACAAAAAACCTGTAAGAGATGCACACTGTATGTTGTTTCAGTTGAACTGGCTGATCTCTTGATGAAAAACAAATGCAGCAATGAAACCTGGAATGGGTGTCCAATATGTCACTCTGAAGCTCGCAATAAACCCAAGGAATCCAGGTGGAACAAAGTAGAGACTTTGAAATAGGAGGATATGTCTCAATAGAAGGCCTTATTCAAGTGGCCTTTAGAGGGTTGACATTTGCTGGGTGCCTTTCACCTACCGCTTGAATGGGATTCTAGCACCAGATACAGGAAGCTCCGGGCATCATTAAAACATCAACAGCAAAGTTCTTCAACAGTAAACAGACCTAAATACGCTTTGATCAGTGAGATTTCACTTGCTGCTCTGAGCAAAAATCTCTCTAGTACTTAATATGTTAATAACAACATGACATGTAGCCCTCCAGTGGTTGATTTCCTGACCAGGAAATGAACCCAGGCCATGGCAGTGAGAGTGGCACACTCTAGCCACTAGACCACCAGGGAACCAGTACAGGGAAATTTCTATTAGTACTAGAAAAATTGATGATTTTCTTAAATTTGAAACATTATAATTAAAAGTAGCTAGGATATATAACTTACAAATACCTTAATTTAAGCTTAACAATAAAGTCTTTAAAATGTTATTCAACAAAGAAACACATAAAATTGGAAATATAATAAAGTTTCCTGTAAGGAGAACATTTATCTATGGAAGGAGCTTTTAGCAGGAATACCTTTATCACCTGTGTCAAAGAGAAGTACTGGGGCGTTTTAACCCTCAGCGGAATATTGCTTATGTCTTGTTTGTGTGTGTGTTGTTGTTGTTGCTGTTTTTCTTTTTTGCTAAGTCACATACGCATACAAAACACAATGGGGTGTTATAGGAAAAAATCTACAATATGGTGGTGTGATGCCTGACGTGTTGGGCTATTTTCTTATCTTCCTTCTTTAATTCCTTTATTAAAGAGCTGGTTCCCCTTATAAAAATTATATGGTACATTTGATCATATATAAAGCATGTTCTCCCACACACAAACACAGTTTGTGGTCCTATAGTGAGGCATTCAGGAGGAAAATATGGCTCTTTCAAGCACTCAGATTGGCAGCAAACCATTTCCTTCTTTTCTCCAGAAATTGGGCTTGGCTAATTTTAACAAGCAGTAATCTCTTTTTTTTTTTGCCCCCACTGTAATATGGGCCAGTGGTGCATCAATAGAGAAGAGAAAGCCCTTAACTTGAGTGATTCCTAGATATTAATGCGATAGGCTCACAGCCCCTTGCTGAAGCTATGTCATACTCTGTAGGGCATGTCCTGTGCTCACTAAAAGATGGACGGTGGACAGTATTCAGTCCCACTGGAGATGCTGTCCGACAGTGCTTTCACCAAAAGTGCCACTTCATGGAAATGGCTAATGAGCACACACAGGCACATGTAGAGCCATCCAATGCAACCCGGGCAATCAGCACTACATCAGTGAAGAGTCTCAGACCTTTGAGTTCATTTAACCAACAAGAACTGATGATTAATACTTACAAACATATGTATATCAGGTACATGGCTGTAACCACACTCTTTGGGGCGGTCGTGTCCCTCCCAATGTTTAGGAAATACCAATCTGTTCCCCCCAATATACAGGAGAAAATATTTTCTATATATCCCGCTTTAATTGGGGGGGGGTTCTAGCGCTTGTACCCCCCAAAGTCCATACCATGGTTACGCCCTTGATCAGGTATGACAGAACGATCAGGCTATCATATGCAGCTCAGTGTTATCATATTGGGGCTCAACAGAATGTTTGGAGAAGGGGCTGCATTGAACAAATTGAAAAACTGAGAGCCAATTTAAACTGTACCCCTATGAGGACTGCTGCTTAATGTCATGCTGCCCTTGCTTTAGCTCTCATCGCCCACTTTCTCATTAAAGTACTCCCACACTCTATGGAGTGTCTTGCCAGACTGTTAAAACCATTCAAATATTGAATAAACTGCAGGCACGTCTTTAGGTCAGTGTTCAAATTCATATTGCAGATAGAGTAAAAGCAAATAATTTATGCAGAAAGACACACAAATCATATTCAAGAGACTTCTAAAGTTACTTTTGAAATGCACTTGTAACTGAAATGTAATTATGCTTATATACCTGTAGGTAAAATTATTATTTGATTTTGTCTGGGTTTGAAACAACTGTACAAGACAAAAAGTGACCATTACTAAAATGTTTATTTAATTGGAAACTACAGTTTGAGGTAATTTATAAGATAAACACACATAAGATTTGTTCTTTAGACCTTGGCAGCACTTTATGACATCTTCTCTCTCTGAAGCTGCTCTGGGGAGATGCCTTTCAGATAATATACCCATGAGAGGCCTGTGCCATGGCCCTCTATGCGTGGACTTGAGATGATAAGTTTTCCAGTGCAGGGGGTCTTGGAGCCTGGTTGTGGGCTCTCAAAGCTCACAATGATTTGGTGAGTCTTCTTTGAGCGAATCGTGTCCATGCCCTTGAAGGTGAAGGCTGGGTTGTCCACTTGGCAAGAAAAGGCTGTGGTCTCCAAGAAGACATTCTTGAAGGGGATGGAGATGTTGGAACCAGCACGGATGGCAAAGGGGCCCTGGACTTTGGGAGGTGTGCATGTTCCATACAGAGGGAACACATAATCCCCTCCAGTGCTGGATGATAGTGTCAATAGGCCCCGCACCTCACCTAACTGGCAGGGCTCAAAATAGACCTCCACACTGACATCGGTGCCTGCTTGGGAGCTTGCCACCACTGGGATTAAATTCTTTTCCACAATGAAGTCCGGACGGTCTGTCTAAAGTTTAGAAGGATTAACAGATGTATATGTGAGTGGCAGGAACCTAAAGTAATCTTTTTTGTCCTAAATTTACATATCTGATATTTCTGAAAAAGGGAATTTATTCACATTTATGTCATTTTTCTAACATAAAATGACCAAAATATAATCTCTGCAATCTGAACATTATTTTTCAAAATTCAAGCCAAACACTAACGTTTTGTTGGAAAACCCTTTTAGTATATTTTTGAGAAATATGGGTCAAATTCTGCCATTTTGGCCCAAACAAAACAGGTTAAGATAAATTGAATCCTGTGGTATATTGTAAAGAGAGAGTGACGTGCAAAAGAAAGAGTGAAACTGGAACAAACAATCTAATGGAAATGTTAAAAAAGCTGTACCTTGCAGGTGTACTCAGCCTTGACACGAGAATAGCTGGTGAACTTGGCAGTGAGGTATTGACCACTGCCCAGTGATGCTCTGAAATAAAGGGGTTTCTCAGGAGGAGCAGGAAGCGCACGGAGCAAAAGCTCATAGTGGAAATAACCCAGTTCATTGTTATACAGCATGAGCCGTGCTGTAGTTTCACCTGAACGTAGAGGCTGGTACTCAAACCTCAAGGTTTCCTGTTCATGAGAGAGAGAGAGAGAGAGAGAGAGAGAGAGAGAGAGAGAGAGAGGATTAACAGAAGTCCTTTGAAAATGGTAACTTCAAAAACTTCACAACAAGAGGCAGCAAATTAATTCTATATGTCTTTAATTTCACTGGTCAATTATGTTAAGTGAGAAGACAATCACCAGCCACTTTTACAACTTTGGTGAAGAAAAAATCTAAAACAAGTGATACCGTAGAGAGTGCGGGCACTGAGAACTGAGGTTGCATGTTGACATCCGTATGGCGGAACTCAGTTGTGAACAACAGGTTGGTGGGTAAAGGATTTTCCAAGTTCACACAGCCAGAAGTCATCTGCCTAACCACTGTAACCATCTCAATTGTGCTAATCACTCCTGGAGGTGTAGCCTTGAAGTTGAGATAGTAGAACTGGTATTCCCCCGTGGCCTCATTTTTAAAGGTTAGCTGTGGAATTAAGAGGTATGTCTGTAAGTATGGAATTGTTAACATATTTAACGAAGTTTAAAACATAAAAGAAGCAGTTAGAGCTTGACTTATGCATACTATATAATGCCAATTATTAGCATAGATGGAATTGGTAGGTATTCTATTGATTTGTGTATTCCTAAGAAGTTGATGGAATTAGTATAGACTGTATTGGGGTTTGGCACTACTTTAGCATTGCATTGGCACTCTTTGTAGCTGAAGAAGGAGATTTTGTAGTCCCGTTTACTCAACGCCGACACATCCACATAATCAAGGCCCTTCAGTGAGATCGTGCTGTCCGGACGTTCGGGTTTAATCATCTCAACTATAGCATGGAATCTGCACAGCAGGACAGGGAGTTAGACCTGTATTATTTATTATTATTATTTGTTGCTGACTACAATAAGTCTGTGTATGTGAGTTTGTGTGTAGTACCTCTGAGGTTTGGACAACCAGTTATGAACAGGTACAATCTCTGTGTAGGATGTCTTGCAAGGTACTTCATGACTTATTGTGCTCACAGCTTTAGGTGGCTCTGCTGTGCCCTGTAGGGTGTACAGCATGCCCGAACCATCGGGGAAAGAGAAAAACATGGAGCCCTAGACCAAATACATAAAAGCCCATTCACACTCAGCATTTTACATTCAGTGCCATGAAAATGGAGGTCGTTGTTAAAGGAGAATATGCTATATTTTAGATAGTTTCTCATGTACTCTTCAGTCTGTACAAGTAAAACTAACTGATATCCTAATTAGATAACATCACAAATTGTCTGAAGTAGAGTTCAAAGACAATTCAGAGAGAATGGACATTAAAAGACATAGCTGGTAATTCCCTTTCAGAATTAAACTTTATGTTCCTTAAGCAGAGTGGTTAAAAATGTTAATTAAACTGTCAAACAGGGATTCCCGGCTTGTCCATGTTCCGTCAGGTTACTCAAGCTAAACCAACTGATCTCTGGTAGAGAGAGATTTACCAGGTGCTTTTTACCATCCGTGGTCATGGTCATAGGCTTATAGGTGATCTCGTAGGCTTTATTTTGCTGGTATGGCTCAATGACGAGGGAAAGTAAAGCAGTCCAATATTCACCCTCAATCACAGGCTTCAGGCACCAGCGCTGGTTAGTATTATTAGACAGAGTCACAGACTGAGTGCACTGACTACGGACCTGACACACAAAATTCAGCACCTGTAGAAGGGAAAGAGAGAGTATGTACACATAGGTTACAGATTGATAAAAGACAACAATATCTATGACAATCACACAGAGACAATGTTTTACCTGATTGGCTACTGGGAGAACAAGGCAGGAGCCAGCAAGGGTGAGCGTTACAGGTTTGCCCCCCTCTATAGAGCAGAAAAGGTTATCATAGCACAGCTCCTGCTTGACCTCATCAGGAGCAAAGGTCACCACCAAAGGCATCTCCATTCCTGGACAAATGTAACCTTCAGCCGGGCAAATGCTGAAGTCTGGAGCAAAAGCCTTTGCATCCCACTTGAACCTGATACAAAAATACACACATGGTCTTTTAAAAGTTATGCAAAGTAAGAATCCAAAATTCTTGATTTACCAGAGCATATTTACATTTACATTTATTCACTTAGCAGACG